GGCAATAACATACGATACAACCATCGGACCCCGCCCGGTATCGGGCCTTGCCCGATAAGCATTCCATCACATAACACATGCAAGATTCTTGCAAACATCTAGCATCCTAACATAATAAACCATGGGCCGACATTGGTGCTTTCAACCCGCTAAACACAGTGAGGAAACTCACCTCAAGCTGTCGAGTCTCACAGATAAATCTCTTGATGCTGGTCCGAAAATCCCTGCACTATCATCATAAAATAATATCCAATTAATAACTGGATCCCAACTCATAACTAAGAGTCTAAACTAGGGTAAAAGACCATTTCACCCTTTACCTAACTTGTCCCAAGGCCAAGGCCCAAACCAACTACTCAAAAAGCCCAAATTCCAAAAATGGACATCAAGGCCCTATTGTGGCCCAATATTCCAAATTAGGCCCAAACCCACCCAACATAAGGACATCAGTCCAAAAATAGAAATTTGATGGCCCAACAAGGCCCTAATATCCTAATGTCTAAATATGGGCCCAAAACCGAGAAACCCAAAATTCGAAGCCCACCTACTGAGTACGCGCGGCGTACTCAGCTCGTACGCTTAGCGTACTTCCTGTGGGGCTAGTATGCGTAGCGTACCAGCTTGGTACGCCCAACGTACTCCCCAGTTGACCACCCCACATCATTAAGCACTTAATCCATTGAGACTTCAAGCCAAACTCTCAGATCTTATTCTATAAGACCACTAATCACGTAAAGGTGGCAACTTTACACACACACATGGCTTAATAGGGCTCAATAGCTCAAAAAGAGATTAACAAAGGTCTTAACACATGCATTGTCCAATATACACCATACAACTTGCATTTTTATGAATAAGGGGACCAAAAGAAGCCTAGATCTAACACCAAAACTTCTGGAGTGCGTCAAGAAGCTCATCAATCACTTTTAAGGACTCAAAAAGCATAAAATAACAACATAACTAGATCTAGCATCATGGATCATCAAGATGTGAGCTACTTATCTCAAAAAGCTTGCAAATGAGCTATTCGCGGATCTTCAAGCTCAACACACAAAAACACACTAGGGTTTTGAGTTTTGGACAAAGGAAGGTGGAGGCTGGCTAAACATGACCAAATGAGGATATTATAAGGTTTAAATAGGGTGAAAACCCTAAAAATTAGGGTTTCATTAAAGCCCACGTACGCCCAACGTATGTGGATAGGATCTGCAATCAACTCCGGGCTAGTACGCTAAGCGTACCACCTAGTACGTCCCGCGTGCTAACTTAAGGACTAAATTGCAAACTTTTTTATATTAACAAGGGTTAAATGCGAAACTTACCAAATTCAAGTGTTACAATTCTCCCCTACTTGAATCAGACTTCATCCTCGAAGTCCGCTGCTCCAAATAACTCCTGGTAGTGCTCCTTCATCTCATCCTCTGGCTCCTACGTCCATTCAGAACCTTTGTGGTGTTGCCACTGAACTTTCACCAACTCACCAACCTTGTTCCTCAAGGTTTTCGTCTTCTGGTCAAGAATCGTCACCGGTCTTTCAATATAATTCAGGCGGTCATCCACCCGAATATCCTCCAATGGAACCACTGCGGAATCATCCACTAAACACTTCCATAGCTGAGAGACATGGAACGTGCTATGGATCTAACTGAGCTCATCTGGAAGATCCAAGCGATATGCAACCCGGCCAACCCATGTCAAAACCCTGAAAGGACCGATATACCTGGGGCCCAGCTTGTGCCTCTTCCTGAATCGGGTGACACATTTCTAAGGTGAGACTTTTAGGAGAACCATATTCCCCATCTGGAACTCTAGATTTGATCGGCGTCTATCGATATAACTTCTCTGCCGACTCTAGGCTATTTGGAGCCTACTCCGAACCTGCTGTATCAACTCAGTGGTCTTGAGTACCACCTCGGTACTCCCTATAACCCGCTGACCGACCTCACCGTAACAAATCGGGGTCCTGCATTTCTCCCGTAGAGCATCTCAAAAGGAGGTCGATCGATGCTGGCGTGATAGCTATTGTTATACGAAAATTCTGCTAACGGTAGATCCATATCCCAACTCCCACCGAAATCCAAAACATACGCCCGAAGCATATCCTCTAAAGTCTGAATAGTACGCTTACTCTAACCATCGGTCTGAGAATGGAATGTTGTGCTTAAATGGAGACGAGTACACAACTCTTTATGGAACCTCTTCCAAAACGTGGAAGTAAACCGGTCATCTCTGCCTGAAACCACCGAAACCGACACCCCATGTCGGGCTACAACCTCCCTGATATATACCTCAGCCAACTTTCTCCGCAGAAATACTCTCCTAAATCGGGATGAAATACGCGCTCTTGGTCAACCAATCCACGACGACCAAAATCGAATCCAGTCTGCGCACAGTTCGGGGCAACTTCATGATGAAATCCATGGTAATCTCCTCCCATTTCCATACGGGAATCTCCAACGGCTGCATCTTTCCTTGAAGTCACTGATGCTCGGCCTTGACTTTCCTGCAAGTCAAGCACCTCTCCACATACCAAGCCACATCCCGCTTCATGCAGGGTCACCAATAATTACGACGAATATCTCTATACATCTTCGTCCCCCTAGGATGAATGGAGACCCTAGACTTGTGCGCCTCCTCCATCAGAACCTGACGCACACCGCCCCAATACGGAACCCATACCCTCCGATGAAGAGTCAACAACCCACGACTATCATAATCAAAGGAAGCCACCTAACCCACAATACGCTCACTCTTCCATTGTTCTTCCTTTATAGCCTCGATCTGAGCCTCCCGAATCCGCTAAATAGCAGAGTAATCACGGTCATCCTCAAACACAGATCCCTGCTTGGAGTCGCGACTGCCTTGCGGCTGAGAGCATCAGCCACCACATTGGCCTTTCCCGGATGGTAAATGATCTCACAATCATAATCCTTCACCACATCAAACCATCGACGCTGCCTCATATTCAGATTTTCCTGATCCATCAGATACCTCAGGCTCTTGTGATCCATGTAAATAGTACAGCAGACCCCATAGAGGTAATTTCGTCAAATCTTGAAGGCGAAAACCACAGCCCCCAACACCAAATTATGCGTCGGATAGTTCGCCTCATGAGCTTTCAGCTGCCTTGAAGCGTAAGCGATCACGCAACCCCTCTACATCAAAACTGCCCCGAAACCCATGATCAACGCATCACAATAAACCACAAAATCTTCAACACCTCTGACAAGGTCAAAATCGACGCCTCGCATAATCTCTGCCTCAAGGTCTCAAAGGTTGTCTGTTGCTCAGACCCCCAACGAAATGTGACCATCTTCTTTGTCAACCGAGTCAAGGGAACAACTATCTTGGAGAAATTCTGGATGAATCTCCGATAGTAACCTGCTAAACCAAGGAAACTCTAAATCTAAGATGGAGACCTTGGAACCTCCCACCGCATCACGACCTCGACCTTGGCCGGATCTACCAGAATACCATTCTAGTTGACAAGGTGCCCCAGAAACTGCACCTCACGCAACCAGAACTCAGACTTGGAGAACTTTGGGAAAATTTCTCCCTCCTCAAAGTCTCCAGCACCTTCCTCAAGTACTCCTCGTGCTGCTCCTTGGTCTTGGAATAAACCAAGATATCATCAATGAATACAATCACAGACTGATCCAGCATCGGCCTGAATACGCAGTTCATGAGATCCATGAATACAGTTGGAGCATTAGTGAGCCCGAAGGGCATCACCACGAACTCGTAATGACCATAACGAGTCTAAAAGGCTGTCTTCTGCACATCCTCATCTGATGATAACCCGAACGCAAATCAATCTTGGAAAACCAAGATGCACTCTGAAGCTGGTCAAACAGATCATCAATCATCAGGAGTGGATAACGATTCTTTACCGTTACCATATTCAGCTTCCAGTTTGTTTGATAAAACATCTTATGTGTTAAAGTTTTGACTTTTATCATCTATTGGTGAGTTATTTATGATTTAGACAACCAAATGTAGTTATATTAAGTTGAATCATAATTCTTTTTGATATAAACTGTTAAGACTAGTGTTTGACAAAACCTAGGATTAAGTGATAAAATCATAAACTTAAATGTGTAAGAGATCGTTTATGAGCAACTTATGCTAATGATTGACTTTAATGGCCATTAAAGTTAGTTACTAGATCAAATATCTCTAATACGAACTTAATTATAACTGGTTAGATAACTAATTGTGTGATAATTGTGTTAATTGTCTTTATAATTATACAATTTTGTTAATCCGATCAAGATAACTAATCCATTAGAAATCGGTAAATATTAATTAATATTCATTACACTCAATTGGAATCCACCATTTCTGAAGGCGAAATGGAAATCTATGTGAAAACTTCTTTATCTCTTCTGTCTCTAAATCTATTCTCTAGTTTTGTTCATTTAGTTGAACCGAATAAAACACCCCTACTTATTGTATTGGTTTTTGTTTAATTAGCATTTGAATATATATGAATTGAATTCCTATTCTCCTTAGGTTCGACACCTAGTCTTAACAACATATTATATTTTCCTTGTTGTCGTAAAATTTTATGAAGAAGATGAAGTTTGAGATTAATCCCAACATGAAAAGGTGTGTAAGGTTATGATTGAAAATGTTGAAAAGATATATATGTGAATGATTGTTTCAATTTGTTCAAGAGTGATCGTACAAGTCTAGCTTAAGCAGGGATGTTGAGATATTAGCTAAACGTGCAGAAAGCTAGTTTGGTAATTTTTAGAGGTAGATAATTGATTAGTTAATTTGTAGTTAGGGTTGTTATTAGTTGTTAGTTATAGTTCCCTATTTCAGGAAATAATTACCAATATTAAAGTTGTGTGTTTGGTGTAATGAAAAGGTGCAATAGTTATGAAGTGTTGCACATGATGATGCGTGTGTGTGTGTATAAGTATGTCCAGAACTTTGTAATTGTCGTGTGATTGTGATTAATAAAATTATGTTTTGCTGCACATGAAACTCTCATTTTATATCTTGTCTTCAATGTCATTCTCCAACAAGGAACAACCCATAGAATTTGAACCCTGGAGAGGAAGTTCACCGTAACCACCATTGTTGTCATTAAGTTGTGAACCATGGAGAGGAAGTCCACCGTAACCACCATTGTTGTCATTAAGTTGAGAAGATAACTGAGAAAATGGTTCTTGGATCCCAAATACATCATTCAACTGTTGCTCGCCAAAACTGAAAAAATCGTAATCTAAAGCCATCTGATTTTCCACGTCATCACCGGTACTTAAATCATCTGTTAAATAATCGTCTAACGTAAAAGCATCTGCAGGGTTGATATGTAACTCGCCAACGTGGTTAACATTCCCATTACTCTCCCTATTACCATAAGGATTCAAATTCATATGTTGGTTTTGTTCGAAGGATTTGGAATTTGAATCAATGTTCAAACAGTTCAAGTCGGCGGTAAGTTGAGTAGGGTTCTGGTTGTTAACTGGGTTTAGTTGCAGTTGTTGATCTGAAATTATTGGTTCCAGCGCTTCGTATGGTTCATAATCGTCTTGCTCTCTAATGGGAGGGAAAGGAGTCTCCTTAATTTGATTGTTTGGACTTTGTTCGCCTACACCATTAGTTTCTTCATTGACGTATGAAACTTCGCTTGGAATATCACCCGAATTTGCAAACGTTAGACCTGTAAAAGATGATGAAAGAATTGATCAAATACTCCATTACCTAAAAGAACTATATAATCGAAGAATGAAATACTTTACCTGGCATCGGTAAATTGGAGCCAGAATGTCCTACATAAGAACTGGACGTTGGCTGCATAAGATGATCGACAGAAGGTATGACTGTTTCCTGATGATTATAACTTGAAAGAGGAATCGGAGGACATCTATAGACACTTTCGTTATATGAGAATTCCATGTTTGGGTTGAAGAACATAGAGTTACTAATAGGGAAAGGTTGTCGACTTATGTTAAGTAGGCGGTTGTCATATTGTAAAAGCTTCTCAAAGTGTTCGTCGAGGACTCCTGGTGAGAAGAGTACGGTATGTCGCCTGGGAAAACAAACATTAATTTGATTTTTAATATTCTGTTTTCAAATAGGATTATGGGATTTTGTTAGAAAATGGTCAGCTTCATACCTGGTAAATTGAGCTTGACCTAGAGTAAAATCATCGGTTTTCTCCCATCGGGTATGCTTTAGTCGCTGGAACTTACATTCTTGATGGTATTCTGGTGGATTTTCCAACTGCATAAAAATAAATAAATAAATAAATCAACATAAATTACTATATTTAACCCAGATGAATATATTTCATAAACTATATGGAATTATGGATGCAAGGAAGAAAACCTCAATTTCAAGACGCCCGTTTTTATCTTCATCCACGTATGCATTAATAGCAGACACGTGGGTCCATGATATCTCGATCTTCTTCTTCATTGGTCCAAAAAGAAATTCCCAAACGAGTTTCTTTTTCTTGTAGTAGAATTTGACTACCAAATCCCCAGGGTTTTTTGATTCCCACTGCTCATAAACGAAACTTTAATTAGTTTTATTAAAGAAGAGATTTCTCAAAAGACAATAGAAACTTACTTTCCATGTGCCAATTTTCAAAAAGATGGCAGGAACATTAGAAGCCTTCAAATTCCGTGGAGGTTGTGGTTGAGATAAGAGTTCTTGATGATTATTCTGTTGCTTTTCTTGTGTCAAAGCCAATTCTAATTGCTTGATTAGAGAGTCCGATATTCTCAAAGTCAAGACAACTTGACTCCCTTCCTGCAGAACACGAAAACAAACATTAACAAAAGAAAATTTAAAAATAAGATATTAGTACAAGATGATCGGCTACACACATCATTAATAAAAGAATACAAAATTATAGTGGAAGAGCGAACCTGAACTTGATTATGAGTGGTATTGTTGGTGAGAAATTGATGATCATTGGTGGATTCAGCAAGTACAACACCATTGTTGCTGGTTTGAACATGAACAGGATGATGATGAGAATGGTGAGACGGATAATCATGTAAGAAACCAGAATTATTTTTGCTTCGATATTCGTCTTCATCTTTATCTTGTTCATCATCGTTACAAAACTGATATGGATTTCTTGTTTTACTACATGAAGCCATTGGTATGTCTGCAGGCAACGCTTAAAGAGTTATCCCAAACAATAATCAAAATCTTGAAAGTGGACGATGATTATCTAACTTGGTTGCTCTTGGACTTTTTTCCTCTCTTTCAATTCAATCTATATATATCCATGCAGAGGGATTTGGCACATGTAAATATGTTTAAGAGAACCAACCCTAAAGTCGGCGATGACATAACGTACGGGAGTAGACAATGATTGTTTGAAGGAGATTTAAGTAAACAATGAGTTTAAACAAAAAAAACCGTTATTCAGATAAGTGAACGAAATCTAAAGCAATCCGAATCCCTTTATCCTCTCACAAAGACCTTTTTTTTAAAACCGGAATGTCTTGGGCGCAAGTATGTGCGTATCTAGAAAAATATGTACAACATAAAAAGAAAAAAGTGAAATAACACAAAATACAAAAAATACAAAATCAAAAATATCTATTGCTTTCTTTATAGGTAATTTTTATTTATTATGAAGCGGAATGTTTTTTTATTTTCAATTTTTTTACCTTGCTTGTAATTTTAAATTTGTAATGATTGTTTTGGTATAATTTGTTTGATATACTTTTTATTTGGAAATTATAGAGTACATGTCTATCGATCTTATCTACTCATCTACAAGACTCTTCTGCATGCGACATAAAAATGACATTGGCTCATTGGTTAGTAGTGAGCAAATGGCTTTACTTAGTGGGGAAACATCTTGGATGATCCTTTGTTAACTGGTTGTTAACGAGGTGATCAACCGGCCAGAAAGCATGAGGAAAAGTTAATTGTTCTAGGTTGATTTCGATAAAACTTTTGATTCACTTGGTTGTGATATTTTTTGAGGGGAAAATGGGTTTTGGAAGTCACTTGAGACAGTGGATTTAATCGATTCTTACCTCGTCCATGGTTTCAATTATTGTAAACGAATAGATAAGAGATGGAGATAGGATATAGTTCAAATGTATTCCTGTAATCATAAGATCCATGTATTTAGGATCTAGTGTTTATCTCTTTCATTTAATATGTATCTATATATTGAATACCAAACCCTATGGGCAATTTTACGGCAATTGACTCAGTTTAACTTGGTATCAAGCTATCATAGGGCTCCAACTTATCTCTACCTTTTCCGGCTCTCTAATCCTCTATCTCAGATTCGCCATCACCATGTCTACCATTACTTCCTCTAAAACCGCCACTACTATCTCCTACAAGCTTACTCGAACCAATTTCCTGATATTGATGGCCCAAGTCATTCACATACTATGAGGTGTCCAACTCTATGGATACCTTGATGGCACCACACCAAAACCCAACGCAAAGATAATTTCTAATTTCTGGAACAGGCACAAAAGTCAGAGAAATAGATAATCCTCCATGCAATGCATGGTTTATTCAAGATCAAGCAATTATCAGTGCTATTTTGCCCTCCATGATAGAAGATGTGTTTGCTCAACTCACGAGATGTACAAAAACGTCCAACGAGTTATGGACTTCCCTTCACATAATGTTCTCTGATCAACATCATGACAACTCTATCCAAATACGCACTCAGTTTTCCACTACTAAGAAAGGAGATATGACTGAATCAAAATACTAGGAAAAGATGACCAATCTTGTTGAGACTGTGGCTAACATAGGCCACCCCATGACCGATGAAGAGGTCATCGGATACATCCTGCCAGATTTAGGACCAGGTCATAGCGATCTCTTCACCACCATCATTGTGCTGAGTAATCAACAAGCTCTAACCCTACCTGACTTCTATTCTTATTTGATTGCTCATGAAGTGCAGTTTAGAACAATGAATAATGTGACATAATTCTTTACCTCTACCAACAGTGTGACACGTCAAGATCAAAACCCTTCACGTCGGAACTATAATAACAATAACACCAATGCTTCCTACAATCATCACCGCAGCAACAATAGAGGTAGTGGAGCAATCGCAGGCCATGGCAGGGGTAATAGAGATCCCCAATGATAGGTATGCGGCATCCTTGGTCACACAACTTTAAATTGTTGAAACAGGTTTAGCAATGGAAACAGATCATCTTACAAATGACCTCGATCGTCTCACGGTGCAGGAAGATATCATGGCAATGATCTGGTTCAGGTGGCGAATGGAGCAGGTTTGCAAATCCCTTATATTGGTGATTGTAAAATGCCTAGCTTAGGTAAACCTCTCGTTCTTAAAAACATTTTGTGTGTTCCTCGATTTAATAAACATCTTATTTCTGCTTATAAACTTGTTTTTGATAATGATTTTTTCGTTAAAATTCACTCTAATGCTTTCTTTGTTAAGGACAAGGTCATGAAGTAAACCCTCATCCTCAGTAAAAGACAAGGAGGCCTTTACCCGGTGCCGATTAGTCGTTCTTCCTTTCGAACCCCTCATCTGACATCCTCAAGTGTTCGGGTGTCTCAATCACTATGGCATCAACGTCTAGGTCATCCAACTTCTGAAGTAGTCAATTCCATTTTAAAGTTAAATAAATTAGGTTGTTCTTTGGATAGTAAACTTTCAGTGTATGATACATGTCAACGTTCTAAAAATCATCACTTACCTTACAAAAACTCAGTTCATGTTACTTTGTATCCACGTGATCTTGTTTACACGGATGTTTGGATCCTAATCAAGTGTCTAATGGTGATTTTAAATATTATGTCAGTTTCGTTGATGATTATAGTCGCTACATGTTAGGTGTGTCAAACCCAACAAATAATAGGGGTACAATAAACTCCAAACACACTGCTATAATGCACTAAAAATAGTAGCACACGGTAAGCAGGTCGAACCACAAAGATACGAGATAAAAATCTATACCTCTTTGTGCAAGGTACTTTGGTCACAAAGGGGATTTTGTTTTCAAAAGTTAAATAATAAAAATAACAATCTAATTTGAAAACATGCAGAAAATGAAATAGATTTGTAAACAATTTGTTGAAATGGTTCTAGTTCTGGTTCTCAATGTTGTTGTTTAACTTGATTGTGACTTGATGTAATTCATGATTGATATTCTAAGTTGGTACTGAAAGATATTAACATGCTCTAATACATTTTTCTTGCCAAATTATCTAACCAAAACACGTCCTTTGACTAGACCTAGCTTTACTAATTCAACCTCAATACACTCTTAGATTGTATTAAAAAACTTCATTAAGTTTTGTACAAGCTTGCCAAAAATGTTAATTTCTTATCATACGCTCGTAAGTGTGAAAACATGTGATGCATGTTCTACAATAAGAAAGCCTATTGTATGTTACCAATCATTAACTTTATAGAACGATTAGGTTTCATAAAAGTTAATTAACTACATAAGAATTCAATTCATATAAGTGGTCAATCAAACAAGAATCAAATTCAAGGATTCTAGTTTAGACAAGAACATAATCACTAAAATAGAATCATAAATCAAATATCAGACTATATGCCTCAAGTCAAGCAATCAACATGTTTTGAACAAGAACTAGAAATTGGGGTTTCTTAGCCACACATGGCTAAGAACAAATCAGCCAACAAAAAGATGGAATTGAAATGTTTAATGCTTAAAAATGGAAATCAAAAGTGTTTTAAATGATTAGAAATCTTCAAGAACTCCCAAAAATATTCCTAAATAGCAAGAAGTAGCTCCCAAAACCGTTTGATAAAAAAATGGTGATTACATCCTTTTTAGTTCCTGCTCACGTGCATAACTCAAGGCCACACGTTTGTAGAATGGCCATCTGTTTGGACGATGTGTTTTTAGCATGGCCATGTGTTTTGACCATGTGTTTTTTATCATGACCATGCTTTTTTCAAAATATCCAATAAGTCTTCACAATTTGCTCCATCTTCGGTCTAGATTCACTCCGAATCATGTTGCTCAAATATAAGATGAAAAGGACAAACACGATTTGTGTCAGTGTGACACGGATCGTACTTCAAACGTAGTCCTTTGTTATGATGAAATTTAACGACTCAAGTTATGTCTTCAAAGTCTTTTTATTCGACAAGCCCGATCTATCTTCTATCCATGATCTAATGCTCCAAGCTCCTTGCTCCTTGTTTGCCTCCAATGTTTCATGCTCCATAACGCCTACAAAATAAACCAATAATGGTGAAGTATCAGGCATTCTGAATAAAATATGCAAGTGCCCAAATAGTTAAATAAATGCAAGAGTTATGAAGTAAAATGAAATGAAATGATAGAACTAGACATGCAAAATAGGTGCACAAAAGGCACCTAACACTACACTTGGATTTATCTCATTAAACATAAGTCTGAGGTGGAATAAATTTTTTATAATTCTCAAAGTCATGTTGAATGACTTTTGAATACCATAATTCGAACCTTTCAATCTGATTGGGTGGGCGAGTATCATAATCTCCACAAATGTTTCCATCAAAAATGAATCTCTCATCGTGTGTCATGTCCCCACACTTCTCAATAAAACAGGATTGCAGAATGCAAACATCATCATATACTAGAATCATGCTTGGCATTACTTGCTTACTCCTTACTTCCTCTACATTTTTGGGATGAAGCGTTTCTCATTGCTTGCTACCTCATAAACCGCATCCCTAGCCATACAATACACAATTCAATACATATTACATGCCTACTCAATATTAAACTTGATTACTCTTTTCTTTGAAATTTTTCATGTTCTTGTTGGATAAGATTGCGCAAGTGTAATGGTTAAAAACTTGATTTTCGGTCAAAAATATGTATCTTCATTCGATACAATTCAATGCACAAAGGATATAAATGTTTAAATAAAAGTAGCAGTAGAGTGTGCATATCTCTTGATGTCATTTTTGATGAATATAGATTTCCATTTGCGACTTCATCAATTGATAACACACCTTCCTCTAACTCTAAAGTTGTGTCTTTTCCTCAAACCGAACATGGAATTATAAATCATCATATGAAGAATTATAATATTTTTATGTTATTATCTACCGTTTCTCATGTAACTACAACGCCAACTCTGGTCTCCCTCACCTTGGATAATCTCA